ATTCTAGGACCTGGTGTCAGCGTGGGGTTGCCCATGGCAATGCCAGTGCGGGACCGAAATCAAGAAACCAGCAAATGAGTCAAATTATGCAACAGAAGTGTGCGTGCTGCAAGATGGGCGCGGGACAATCTTCCCGTCCAGAACTACTAGAGACTTTGCAGGAAAGTTTAGAGTCAAGTACTTGCCCCACACAATCCCAAAAATTTCGTTCTGGACCGTGTTTCTGCAGACCGCTTGCGGGAACTGTATGTTGAGGGAGCCGCTGGCGTAGTAGTAATGTTTAGGTTTAAGTGTACTGGCCTGTAGCCATTGCGCTACAGGTCCAGTTACACTTCTAACGTTTAGTTTAAAAAGTTGACTGTTTCTAAGCCTCTGCGCTTCTGCGCTCTGACCATAAACAACTACTGGAGGTAGTTGTTTAATTTGTATTTTCTTTTAAGTAATTGATTAAGCCTTTGCGCTTTTGCGCGCGATCATACTACACCAGTTTAGTAACTTAGTAATTTTGATTTTATTTGAAGCCTCTGCGCTACTTTGCAAGCTTCTTATATTTTAAACATTATTTGATTTTAATTGTGTAAGCCTTTGCGCTTTTGCGCTCGAGTTCATACTAGACAGGTTCTAGTAATTTTATTTGAAGCCTCTGCGCTTGTGCGCTGTTGTAAGTTTCTGCTATTTTTAAGATTGTGTTATGTATTGTGTAAGCCTTTGCGCTTTTGCGCGCGAGTTGACTAATTTCTGTAAATATTTTCATGTGAGGCCTCTGCGCTTGTAAGTTAAGTTGATGTACATGACCGCGCGTCAAGTTCTATTAAAGCATTTTTCCACAACGTACAAATGTGCCAGTTCCGTCAACCTCTGCTGTAACTGCTGTCTTGCTGCATCAGGTTACTGTGAGTAACGGTTACCAGTCCTTCTTTGCATGATATTTGGCAATATAACAATGACTTTCATAGTTAAATGCGAATCACATTTAATTGTGAAGATCATACATAATATTGTGAAATATTATGCAAAGTGGATCTGTTCATTCTTACTTGCTCCATCAAATTCAGTCATGATGAAGTCTGCTTTTGACATACGATTCCACTACTTGCTTTGACAGCTACACAACAGTTCTGCACAACAGTTTATATTTCCAATTCTTATTATGAGAATAAATACGTAAACTTTGAAATGAAGATGGGAAGAGAGAGAGAGAGCAATAACTCCAACTACTGTCTTGCGTATCACGTATTCGTTTGAACCATTTCAAAATTGTTCTCTCTTCCAATCTTCATTGCAAAGTTTCCGTACTTATTCTCATAATAAAAATTGGAAATGTAAACTGCTGTACAGAACTGTTGTGTAGTTGCCACAGCAGGTAGTGGAATCATATGTCAAAAAGCAATCTTCAGCAAGCCTGAATTTAATTGGGAAATTAAGAATTAGCAGTTCCACTTTAAAAATACTTCAGAATATAAGTATGATCTTCAAAATTAAATGTGTTTTGCATTTAAATGTCAAAGTCATTGCTGTATTGCCAAATATGCAACAATGAAGTAGAACTGGTAACCGTTAATCGCAGTAACCTGATGAGGACTTAGCCGCAGCAAGACACTACTTAGAGTCTCGAGGCACATGTGTAATGAAAAGCCTGAAATTAGGAAAATAACATGGTCAGAGAGGGGCAGCGAGGAAGTGTGTGTACAAGTGCGCGTGACTGGTTAAAGCGGTTGCACTCACCGCGTACAGCGGCACTGGTCCGTGAGATGACAGGTGACATGAGATGAGGTAATATGACGAATAAATAGGCCTACAGCAGTGAGGATGGTTAGTGTCAGTTGAACACGGCACCTAAACTTATCGAATACACGACGACAACAGTCGCCTTTCGAAAAGGAAACTTTTTTAACGCCTATGCAGGCACAAAAAACTTATCGAATACACGGGGACAGGAGTCGCCTTTCAAAAAGGGAACTTTTCCAACGCCTATGCGGGCACCAACACTTATCGAGTACACGGGGACAGGAGTCGCCTTCCAAAAAGGAAACTTTTTCAACGCCTATGCGGGCAACACCACACAAAGGAAACTTTTGTCCCGCGGAGGCGGGGATTAGCAGGTAGCCGCCAGCACGGCGACAAAAGTTGCCTTTACGCCAAGCACTGGTGTAAATTCCATCAGGATTTCCTGATCGCAGTGCCCTGATTCCTCATCGTATCGAAGGTTTCTGATGGTTTTCTCGGTTTCTGATGGTTAGTTTCTGATCGTTCCTTCAAAACCTAATGGTATTATCTCAATTTTTTGATGGTATTTTTTCCCTGATCGTAAAATTTCTGGTGTGTAAACCATCAGGATAATTTCTATATTCTGATGGTATTTTTCTGATCGTAGAAACATCTTTGATGGTTATTTGACATTTTCTGATAGTTCCTTTTAGTATCATCAGAAAATGATGTTTTCCTGATCGCCTCGATCAAGCAAATAATTGGCCTGACGAAACTATGTGTCGCACGGTAAAACGGCTTTGTGTGGTGTAA